GGTTCATGTTCTTAACTTTTAGTTTTTATGCTCCCCACAAATGGAATAAACTAAAAAAAAAAACACTACTTTTTATAGCTGCTTACCCAGAAGCCTTTTAACTTGTTTTAGCACCTACCGTATTTACAATGTTGTTTTTAAACTATTCTGTATCTCTTTTATGGATGGGTTTTATGAATCTGTTATTCCTTTGTGTTTATTTATTGTGTTCCTTTTCTTCTTATTAAGTGTTAATGATGATTTAAAGCACTTTGAATTGCATCTGTGTCTGAAAATGTGCTCTATAAATAAACGTACCTTACCTTACCTTAATCGTCAATAGCCTAACGTCAAGGTATTTGTTCATTGCAGGACAAATAGAACCAGATGGTGGCGCTAAATGGAAAAGTCAGGGGATCTCCAAAGTCACTCACCGACTACATTGCCGCCCTTAAAGACATGCCGTTAGCATGGCTAAAAATAGAAAGAGAACACAGCCCAGAGAGCACAAATACCTCCATGGAAACTAGATATAACCCTGGTCCAGATCAGATACCAGGCGAACGACCACTGAGGAGTAAAGAGATCCAATCAGAAGTAAAGATTAAATGAATTTAGAAGGGACCGTGGTGAGTTTGTTAGGGTTAGGGTTAGGGTTAGGGTTAGGGTTAGCAATGAGCTGCGTTTGGACTTATATGTGCAGAACAACCTTCCAACTCAGTCAACAGCTTCCTGTGTGCATGCTTCAGCTCTGTCCAAAGAATTTCACATTTCACAGGTCAGAGCTCGAGTGGCATGCTCCACCGACGGGGATCAGGGCAGGGATTTGGAAAAATACAAAAGCTAAATGAGGTAACTATGTAGCGCCCTTTGTGCGACAGAAATACACTTACAGACACGCGTGAAAGAAGATGTGAGTCAGTGGAGGACGACTGTTGCTTAGCACAATTCTCAAAATGGCAGAATATTGCACACACAAAGCCAACTTCATGAGAGCCCCACTGTTTTTAAGGAATTTCCTGAAAGTATGTGAGTATAAAATAGAGCTGCAATGTGTAGTCGAAAAACAGAACAATTATTGTTAACTATTTTGATTATTTTTAAATGGTTAAAGGAACTTTTTTCATGCCAACATTTTTTTAAATACTGCTTTCAGTCTTTAAAAAAATGGAGCTTGTCTGCTTGTATCGGATTTATATTATATTAGATGGAATATCTTTTGGTTTTGGACCGACACAAGGAAACATTTAAAGACCCCACCTGGGACTTTGAGAAACAGGGATGGACAATTTCTTTAAAGCTTTATACCCCAAATCAGCCCTTTTGAAACAGGAAGTGAAATAGAGGGATATGAGGCATGGCTAGAATGGGTGATCTGTTTGGTATTTTGAGCAAAACACTTCATAGACATGTTTTTTATATATTTATATCTGAGACCTATGCTATTGCCTAAAGATAGCATGATAGGTCCCCTTTAAAATGTGGATAATTTATATTATTATATATTTTGTATTCTTAATATATTGTTTCACTTCATTTTTTGGTATTTCATTTAATGCACAAACACAAATGTATGATGTCATAAATATATACTGCTGTGTTGTTTGTAAATCGGACGTTAAATAAAGAGAGAAAAAACATTTCAGTGCACTTGTAACTGTTTAGTGATGCATAAACAAACAGACGAGGACAAAGAGACAAACAACACATAATAATAATTAAAATGCAAATAGAAATGTTCCTCACCTGCTGATATGGCGTGAGGTTTGATTATGCAGCACGTGCAGTCTGTAAAGATGGCTGTATTCGAGGGTCCATGGCCAATTGTTGAAGGGAAAAAGAATTCCAGCTCCTAATGTAACAAACATAATAAAAACAAGTTATGCCTCCATGCTTTAATGTTCAAAAAGCTCTTTATTTTCCTCATACTGCCTGTGCTGCAGCACCTCTTTTCACCCTCTGTCTGAAACCAGCCAAGGCACACAGGGGATAGGGACCAGAGCCCAGTCTGCTCTGATTGGTTAGCTGGCCGGCTCTGTTGTGATTGGTCAACCGCTTAGAGCTGTCCCGCCCCTTAGCCTATCACGTACGATGTGTTGAAGCGCTAGCCAGTAGAAGTGCAAGTGTTACAAAGTGTTGTGTGGTGCTCTGTTGTGATTGGTCAACCGCTTAAAGATGTCCCGCCCCTTAGCCTATCACGTACAATGTGTTGGAGCACTAGCCAATAGAAGCGTGAGTGTTACAAAGTGGTGTCACTATGTTCAGGAAGTAAACAAAGGAGCCCAATGGAGGTGTTTCAGGCAGGGGGGGAGAGTGTGTGGGAGAGAGATTTTAGCCTTTGAAGACTTTTACATGCACTATATAAAACACACTACAGGAAAAGGGAACCCCCAAAAAGCATTAGAGGGCCTCTTCAAATCCACTCTCTTACTCTTGCTGCTGCTGCAATTGAGTCAGAGCCATGACCAACATTTTTGACGCCATCTGTTCCCAACTTGGCTCGAACGCTCTCTGGAGCCTCTTTCCGAGCAACAGCAGAGTCTCCGGGGCCCAGGAGCCTCCTCCAGATCGACATGGCCTCATCACCCATCAGCTCCATGGCAACCACGGGGCCCGAGGACACAAACTGCACCAGGTTACTGCAAAAAAAAACAAAGAACAAGGACATGAGGAATAAAGCAGATAAGTGGAATTCCTACAAGCAGGAAGTCAGCAAAGGGATTCATTCAGATTTGTTTGAAGAGGGTTTTGATGTAGCCACTTCTCAAGAGTCAGTGTATTATAGTATATAGAGTAGAAACAGACCTGGCAGGAAGCTAAGCAAAGTACTGCTGTGGACATATTTAACACCTAGAAATATCTATATCAGTTTAAGTACAAGCTATATTTAGAATATTTCCACAGCTTTACCTTGCTGTCAGACTGCTACATTAGAGTTTGGATTATTGCAGAAAATAAGTTCTGTTGCAAACCAGTGTTTATTATACGTACATATTTTGTTTAGCAAGAAAATCTCCACATATGAAAGTAACTCTACTAACTAAAAAAAAGCTAATGTTGGGCTATAAAGGAACTACAGCACGGTCACATGACTTCACGTCACCACCGCTAAGCTAAAGGCAGCTAATGTTGGGCTATAACTGACTTCATCACACGCTAAGCTAAAGGCAGCTAATGTTGGGCTATAAAGGAACTACAGCACGGTCACATGACTTCACGTCAACACCGCTAAGCTAAAGGCAGCTAATGTTGGGCTATAAAGGAACTACAGCAGGTCACATGACTTCACGTCACACCGCTAACTAAAGGCAGCTATGTTGGGCTATAAAGGAACTACAGCACGGTCACATGACTTCAAGTCACCACCGCTAAAGGAACTACAGCACGGTCACATGACTTCAAGTCACCACCGCTAAGCTAAAGTTGGCTAATGTTGGGCTATAAAGGAACTACAGC